AAAATCAATGAGCACTCACTTTGACAGACAATTCTGGGTGCAGAATACCTGCCACAGGTAATAAATCACTTCATTTAATTTTATCTTTTCAGCAGTGCATGGTGGTTTATACCCATATATCACTTCAACCTCTCTTTTCTGCCCTGTTGACAAAGGACAAATTGAGAAGGATGGTGGGAAAGCTGGGACAAAGAAGAGAGGAAAATGGAAGACCTCTGTTACTAGGCACCTGTGCAGTAAAAGAAATAATAATAAAGCAATGTCATTGTTTTCAAAGCGTCAGTTCCTTTTGTAAAATGTTACAGCACTTCCTGTATTTACCAATGAAGTTACCATGGTTTGGAAAATAAAGGTAGCTTTCTTTCCAAACCCCTCAGGACACACTATATATCTACAGTATCAACAGGATCCAAGACACTTGGCTTTTCTAATAATGGGTGAGTTTACAGGCTTCACTGATGACACTGCTTAGAAACTGGAACAGCGAGAAGGCTTGAAGCACAGAACCCAATATGGTAAATGGCACTTCTGGTTCAGCAATATGGCAGCAGACTAAGAAAATGTGAAAAAAACCTCCCGCTATAAACACCTAGGAATGCTGGGTAGAATATAACTTGAGAAAGAAAGAAAAACCAGCTGATTCTGAGACTATTCCAGTAATTTACTGACTTGGATTTTAAAATCCAAGCGGACAAAGGAGGTGAAACCTTGAGCTAATATGACGCAGACAGTTGGAAATAAACCCTTGAGGAGAGGCAGGATCCTCGAAGGCACGCTTCCTCAGTGAAAAGGAAGACTAGGGGGAAAAATCATCCCCTGAAAAAAAGGTCCAAGAGGACAAGAATGTGTGTCCCTGGGCTCTGAGTCAAAAAAAACTTTCTCCTGCAAAATGGATATCCCAGATCTGAGCCTTGAGCAGTGATCCAGGAAATTCCAAACTAAGAAATTAGCAGAAATGTTGGCCTCAACCCAGTGATACTCCTGAGATCTCTAGAAGAAGCCATGCAAATTGTTCTGGAGGGGTCCCACTATCAGGCCACATGAGATCGCCACAGAAAAAAATATGCCTACTAAAGATCAGCTTATAGGAAAATTAAAAATTACATATACCATGAGCAGAAAACAGTAAACACAATAAGAAATATTATTAGAGTTCCAGGAACTTGGGCTCATAAAGTTACAACTTGAAAAAGAGAATACAAAATAAGTATGCTTAAAACAATTGGAGACATAAAAGTGGGAAATAAAACTCCAAGGAAAAATATGAAAAAAGTACTAGTGAGATTGGAAAATAAGCCAAAGAGAATTTCTAGAAATTAATAATATAGTCACTGAAATTAAAAAGTCAGAAGATAGCTTAAATAGCAGATTAGACACAAATGAAGAGAGAATTAAGTAAAATGGAAGACAGGTTTTGAGGAAATTACCAAAGGGCATCAGAGATAAAAGGAGCATGAAAGAATAACTGAGGGAATAGAAAGTAGAATGAGAAAATCCATAAGCATTTAATGCAAGATCCAGGTGATGAAAATAGAAAGACTGTGTTAGTTTGGGTCCTCCAATAAGCAAAGGCCAAGAAAGGATGTTGGAAAGCAAGAGTAGGCATGGAGAAGCTTCAGACCATGAAGGAGGTGTGACCTGTGAAAGGAGAGGGAGAGAGAAGGAGTGTTGGGTGGGATAAGCCTCAGAGTGAAGCATAGTTCTAAGAAAGTTTTGGCCACACTGATGGGGAATCCTTGAGCCAAAGTCACCCTTTCAAGGATTCCTCCATCCTGCAGAAATGGACCAGCACTGGAACCCCTGTCAGACTCAGCCATCAGCTGGGAGCAACTCAGGGGAAGTATGACTTTTGAGTGAATCCTGAGATGTGGCTCTGGGGTCAGTCAACTATGCTTCCCGCAGCAGGAGATCAGAGAGGTACATTTTTATGGTTGCTGAAATGAAGGAGAAGCAATATTTTAAAAGATGAAAGTTAAGAATTTTCCACTATTGTGAAAGCCATGAATCCTCCATGTAGAGAATAATACCAAATTCTGAGCAGAATAAGTCAAAATAAATTTATACACACTATAGTCAGACTGCAGAATATCAAAGACAATAAAGTACTGAAAAAGGAGAGAAGTTAAAATACTAAATAAAAAGAAAATAAACTGGGAGGGGAGGTGACTGGAGTTAATTTTACACTGCTATTTAAGTCCATACATTAATCATTTAAGGGTAACAAAGCCAACAGAGAAAAAAGGGAGGAAATGATACAACTCAATTCAGTAAGAGACAGGAAAGGAGAGAAAGAAAGCAAAGGAAAAGTATGGGAAATAGAAAACATAAAATAAGAGAAATAATTTTTTAAATCAACAATTACTATAACTACAAGCAGACTAAAATAACTGGTTAAAAAACTCAGACTGGATTTTTTTTTTTAATTCAGCCATACATATTTATAAGAGGTACAGCTAAAATACAACAACATAGAAAAGTTAAAAGTAATGACATTAGAAACCGTATACCAGAAAAATATTGACCAAAAAGGGGAAAAAAAGGCCGGATTAACTATATCAATATCATCAAAATAGACTAAGGCAAAAGCATCATTATGATTATCCATTTACTGGTTCTTACTAGTTAGACACTATCTTAATGCTTTGGAGATTGATTGATCTCATCAATGAGATGAGATCCCATTTGCATCTGTAGAATGGGATGATAATTATAGATGATTTTTTAATCTGCAACATGTTTTTCTTAAAATAACAACACAAGCAAATATGGCAAAACGTTAGCACCTGTTTAATCTCTCTTGTGGGTACACAGGTGCAAGTTTCATTATTGTCTGTTCATCTTTATCTATTTGAGTTTTTTTAAAAATAAAAATATCTTAATTGTTAAATCCAGAAACCCAATAACCAAGCAAAAAACTAAGACCACAGAAAATGATGATGTCATATACTGCTTGGGAGAGTAGAAACTATACAACTTTCCTAGAGGACAATTTTCCAAGATACACCAAAGCCATAAAAATGTACACACTAGGGGACATCCCAGTGGCACAGTGGTTAAGTTCATGCACTCCGCTTTGGTGGCCTGGGGTTCGCAGGTTCAGATCCTGGGCATGGACCTATACATCGCTCATCAAGCCATGCTGTGGTGGCGTCCCACTATCAAAGTGGAGGAAGACTGGCACAGATGCTAGGTCAGGGCCAATTTTCCTCAAACAAAAAGAGGAAGATTGGCAACAGATATTAACTCAGGGCCAATCTTCCTCACCAAAAAAAAAAAAGTAGATACTCTTGAGAGCTGCTTTGGAGGTTCTAGCAGGGGAGCACAACTACTCATATATCCTTGACCTACAAATAGTCTTCCTCTATCGGGGAAGTTCATCCTCTTCCACCCAGCATGCAACTTCAGGAGGGACGCACATGGAGAAATGAGGGAGAAAGGGGACACTCACCTAACCAGCCAGATCAGCTGAATCAACCCTGGTGATCAATGGGGTGACAGATGTTGCAGCCAGATCGCCCTCACATCCTGTAGATACTCTTTAATCCAGTGATTAAATTCTTGCAATTTATCCCAAGGAATTAATCAAGGCTGCGTACAAACGTGTATGTACTAGTTTATGGCTGAATTATGTCTACTGGTGAAAAATTTTAAATAATTTTAATGTTGGGAATTACTTTAGTAAATACATCTGTGTAACAGAGTAGTATGCAGTCAATAAAATTCAGGTTATAGGAGAATATTAATGACAAGTATTACATATTAACAGGTGAAAAAGAGACACAAAGCAGTAGGCATAGTATGAGCTTACTTTTATTAAAAAATATATGAATATATGTGTACACAGACAATGGACTGGAGGGATATAGAGCAATGTGCTACTTAATAAGTCACTTCTGGATGGTGGAGATTCTGAATGACTTTTGGTTTATTGTGCTTTTCTTTGTTTACCAAGTTTTCTGCAGTGAGCATATGGCGGTTTGCAATTAGGAAAAAAAGCAATCATTACTTCTAAAGTAAGTGGCAATAATTCCAGTTTATACTCGAATGCAGGGGTCCACAAACAACACCCTGCAGGCCAAGTCCAGCCTGCCACCCATTTTTGTACTGCTTGTGAGTTAAGAACGGCTTTACATTTTTAAATGGTTGAAAAAATATCAAAAGAAAAATAATATTTACAATACATCATTCTAAATCTTTGTCTTTAATCTTTACAACAACCATGTCAAATAGGTACTATGACTCATTTTATAGATGAGGGAACAGAAGCTTCTAGATAGGTGATGTGAGTAGTCAAAGATCTCATAGTTAATGAGTCTTTGTGCTGGAATTCAAATCCGAGGAATCTTACCCCAGAGCCTATGCTCTTTTTTTTTAAAGATTTTATTTTTTTCCTTTTTCTCCCCAAAGCACCCCCAGTACATAGTTGTATATTTTAATTTGTGGGTCCTTCTAGTTGTGGCATGTGCGATGCCGCCTCAGCATGGCCTGACGAGTGGTGCCATGTCCACGCCAAGGATCCGAACTGGCAAAACCCTGGGCCACCGAAGCAGAGCACACGAACTTAACCACTTGGTCACAGGTTGGCCCGAGCCTATGCTCTTAACCTACCTCCCTCATGAGCAAAATTCTCCAGCACCAAGAGGGCAAATGCAGCCAGCACATTCTGGAGAATTCTGGCTGGAATTCAGGCTGGAAGACCACGGTGTTTCATAGAAGCTTCATTGGAGAATGAGGTCCTGTTTTTACCAGGATGATAGGAAACACTCAGTTTGAACTCCAGTTAAGCAAAGTGTTATCCTCCTAAAAAGACTCCCACTCTTCTCATTAACAGACTGTATTACAGAAAACAGTACCCAATAATTATTATTATTATGTTTTCAGTTTCATCAATAAAAATTCCTGGAAATTTGTTTTGTCGCTCATTTTGTAAGCATTTGATGTCCTTGATGTTGTTTCTTGGCCCACGAAGCATAAAATTTTTACTATCTGGCCCTTTACAGAAATGTCTGCAGACACCTGCTCGAATTGACAGAGAAACGAGAGCAGGGAGCCACGGCAGGCAGTCACGGTGCCGACAGAGTCCCCGACAACTGGAACCACAGAGCAACCAATAACTGGTATGGTTCTATCTCCCAAGCTCTTCCACGAGCTCTTAGTCATTTAGAGACGGAGTTTCTGTCCTCCTCGTCCTGCCATGTCTGTATTTTCTATCCATTACCTCCCACCAAGGGGTGAACAAAGAAAAGAAAGTAAAACTTAGTTCTGTCAAGGTTATTGCTTCTTAGAAACTCTGTCAAAAATCTTTTCATGGGATTTGACTTTTATTTCACCTCTGGAGTTAATATATCAGTGTTTTCTGTTACTAAAAATAACTGAAAATTGGCCACTCATACTAAGAACATTTGTTTATGCGTTCATTCAACAAACCCTAAGTATTTACCATGTACCTTGCCCAAAGGCACTGTGCTAGATGGACCAGCCCTAGAACAGCTAGAACAGCTCACAGATTAGAAGATATTTATCAATACAACACAACACGTTCGATAATAGAAACCAGTTTTAAAAGATTACAGGAAAAGCAAATTAAAATGACAGTGAGATACCACCACATACCCATTAAAATAGCTATAAGCGAAAGGACAGATAATACCAAGTATTGGCAAGGATGTGGAGAAACCGAAACCTTTCTACATTGCTGGTCAGAATATAAAATGCAACAGTCACTTTGGAAAACAGCCGGGCAGTTTTGTCAAAAGTTGAACATACACTTAACAAATGACCCAGAAATTCTACTCCCAAGTATCTACCCAAGAGGCATGGAAACATGTGTCCACACGAAGACTTGTACACAAATGATCATGGCAGTATTTTCACAACAGCCCCAAACTGGGAACAACTCAAATGTCCATCAGCTGGTAGCTGGGTAAACAAAACGTTATGTATCCCTACAAAGGAATACTACTCAGCAATAAAAAAGAAGCAACTACTGATACACTCAACAACACGGATGAACTCAAAAATAGCAGGCTGAGTGAAAGAAGCCAGTCTCAAAAGATTGCATATTGTGTGATTTTATATGAAATTTCTAGGAAAGACCAAACTATAGAGACAGAAAGCAGATCAGTGCTTGCCTGGGATTGGGGTGAGAGCAAGGACTGACCAAAAACAAGCATGAGAGAACTTGGGGGGGGGCTGATAGAAACTTCTGGAACTGGATTGTGGTGATGGTTGCACAAATGTATGCATTTACTAAAACTCATCAGTATCCTTAAAATGGGTGAATTTATGATATGCAAATTACACCTCAATAAAGCTGTTTAAAACAAAACTCTAGGAGCAAAGGGGCAGCTAATTGCGTGAGGCGAAGGAAAGGGTAGGGAAGGCTTTGGAAGAAAGGGAAATGTTGAGATAATATTGTGACGCTGGACATTTAGTTGAGGCAGGGATTTCATAGTGTGCAAAGGCAAGAAGGTGTGAAAACTCAGGTAGCATTTGGGGAAGGAAAAGAAATATGTAATACTGGAGGGCAGGATACACTTCGAGGGGGATAAGTGAGGAAAAAACAGGAGGGCCTTCCTAAGAGGTGGATGCTTCATCTCATAGGTGATGAGAAGTCATTAAAGAATTTTAAGGATGTGAGTGACTATCAAATTTGAGTTTTAGAAAGCTAACTGTGGAGGCAATGTGAAAAGAAAATGACTTAGAGAGAATGAAAAAAACTGACAAAAATACATGGATGAATAGAACAGATTAGTGGCTACCAGAGGGGAAGAGGGTTGAGGGGTGGGTGAAAGGGATAAAGGGGCACATATATATGGGGATGGATAAAAATTAGACTGCTAGGGGTGAGCACGATGAAGTGTATTCAGAAACTGATAGTAATGTACACCTGAACTTACACAATGTTATAAACCATTATTATCTCAATAAAATTACTTGGGGTGGGGGGAGCAAGAAGCTATGTCCAGGTAAAAGATATAAATGAAAGCAAAGTGGACAGAAGTCAAATCAAAGGGATATTTGGAAGACAGAACCAACCACAGTCATGCACTGCATGATGACATTTTGGTCAATGACACACCACATATACAACGGTGGTCCCCTAAGATTAGTACTATACAGCCTAGGTGTGTAGCAGGCTATACTATCTAGGTTTGTGTAAGTGCACCCTATGTTCTCATAATGATGAAATCGCCTAGCGATGCATTTCTCAGGACATGTCCCCATCGTTAAGTGAGGTATGATTGTACTTAGTGTCTAATGAGGTGGTGGGAGAGAGAAGGAAGACAGCTTCTGGTCTCAGCAGCTGAGAAGACAGTGGTGTCACCAAAAGAGAGAAAGACCATAGGAGCAGAAAGAGGTAACAATAAATTCTGCTTTGGGTTGATTTTGAGGTGCCGTGAGGATAGCTAGGCACGAATATCCAGTGTACAGTTGCAAAACTGGAAAGAGTCAGGCTGAAGCTGTGCCTTAAGAAATCCTTAGCAAAAAGATGGTCACTGAAACCACAACAGTGAGTTAAAATTCCTATGGACTCACATAAACAGCAAAAAGTTAGGGCTCAAGATTAAAAAGGCCAAGAAGAGGGGCTGGCCCCGTGGCCGAGTGGTTAAGTTCGCGCGCTCCGCTGCAGGTGGCCCAGTGCTTCGTTAGTTCGAATCCTGGGCGCGGACATGGCACTGCTCATCAGACCACGCTGAGGCAGCGTCCCACATGCCACAACTAGAAGAACCCACAACGAAGAATACACAACTATGTACCGGGGGGCTTTGGGGAGAAAAAGGAAAAAATAAAATCTTTAAAAAAAAAAAAAAAAAAAAGGCCAAGAAGAGACTACCTTCCCTGTCATGCCTGCGAAGACATTAAGAAAATGCCCCTTCCTCTGTTGCCGTTCCTATTGTCAGTTTGCTCCTAGCAGACTGCTAACAGATTTTTATAAAGTTATACATTACAAAACAAACATGCCAAAGATGATCAAACTTGGGGCAAATACACAGATTGAAGAGATAAGAGCAGAACACAAAAAAGGCAATTTAAACCACATAGAATTTGATATCTAGAACGCAAAGTGCATGCTTTAGCTGCCTTTGAAACTCTCACATTGCTAACATGGGCATTAGTGTCCTCTTTCAAGTTAGGGGTAGATGGATAGGATTCCATCCACTGCCCTCAGCTCACCCACAACCATCCAAACGCGCATCAGTTCTACCATCTTATCAACTAGATACTATACAAATCAGTACCCTGAAGACCTACCTTCTTGGACTTTTCCAATGCCCAAAAATGGCTGACACGTGGAGAGGCCAAAGCATTTCGTACAATTTTATATACAGAGTATTAAGAAATGTAGACAAAAGAACAGCAGGCTAAATGCCAAGAGATGCAGATTCTATATTCTATTCTTCCACATGGATAAGTTAATTATATTCTCTGTATGTACAAACTGGAATATAACACATTGAACAGATTTTGAAAATTTAAGTGTTGTACAACGTATGGTAATATTGCTTGAAAGTTGGTCATATCACATACAACCTCCTGTCTATTTAGGGTCAAATGAGTTAAAGTTGTGCTCTATCGTTTTAGGGGAGAGAAGAGTCTTTGATGTTAAAACCTGAAAATAATTTACAAGAGGTGCCAGCCCAGTGGCATAGTGGTTAAGTTCACACACTCCACTTCAGCAGCCCGAGGTTCGCAGGTTTGGATCCCAAATGCAGACCTACACACTGCTCATCAAGCCATGCTGTGGCAGCGTCCCTCATACAAAATAGAGGAAGACTGGCAATAGATGTTAGCTCAGGGCCAATCTTCTTCACCCAAAAAACAGACAAACAAACAAACAAAATAATAATTTACAAGAAATCATGCCTGGGGTGGAGGAATTGTAATATAACAGATTCTCCTTCTGTACATGACCTTTAATTCTGCTCACATCTATTTTTAGCCTTTTGGGTAAGAGAACATAGAACTGACATAGGGCCCTTCATCCCTCAGGCCCTCCACCTACCCACCTATAGTAACTGTTGTCCTTCTCCAACAGTGAGTCACCCAACTTCCCCTCTGCCTTTCACTTAGGTGGCCACCCACCAAGCCGGGGTCCCTGATTTCCTTGTCTGTCTACCCTACCAGACCAGAAGTTCCCTGACTGCAGGGTAAAGCCTGTTCGTCATCGTATTCTTAGCACCTGGCACCACACAGAGGCTCAAGAAATGACCCCCAAGTGAAAGAATAGGGGGAAATTAAAAGGAGGAAAGACTTCCAAATGGCACATATTAAAAACAAAATTTTTATATTATTTTATTTTTTAATAAAAATTATATATACTTAAGGTGTACCATATGACGGTTTGGTCTATATATACGTAGTGAAATGATTACTACAGACAAGCTAATTAACATATCGCCTCACACAGTTACCTTTGTGTGTGTATGATGAGAGCAAAAATAAAATTTTAAAACTCTCCTGTGCCTTCATGAACAGATGAATAGATAAACAGAATGCAGTATATCCATACAATGGAATGTTATTCAGCCTTAAAAAGGAATGAAATTCTGACACAAGGTACAACACGGATGAAGCTAGGAAGCATTATGCCCAGTGAAATAATCCAGACACGAAAGGAAAAATACTGTATGATTCCATTTATATGCGGTACATAAAATAGTCGAATTCATAGAGACAGACAGTAGAATGGTGGTTGCCAGAGGACAGGGGGAGGGGGAATGGGAAGTTAGTGCTTAATGGGGACAGAGTTTCTGTTTGGGATGCTGAAGAAAAGGTTCTGGAAATGCAGAGTGGTGATGGTTGCACAACACAGTAAATGTACTTAAAGCCACTGAACTGTACACTTAAAAAAGGTTAAAATGGTAAATTTTATGTTATCTAGAGTATATTACCACAATTTTTAAGAAGTCTCCTGTGCAGTATTCTAGCTGAGAAAGAAGGATACAGACTGTGGCCTTTGGCCCACTTTTAGGTGGCTACTTCTTCATAAGTTGAGTTCTTAAATATCTAATTGATAGCAAAGGGAAGAAAACATATTTAGTATTCACACAGCTCAGTGTCCAAATGTCTAAAGTCCTTAATTTGGAAAATACTACAAGAATCCTGAAATTGATTCTAAATTTACTTCTAAATGCTGAAAGTAAGAATGAAGTGTGATTTTAACTGAGTTTTCTGGGAGTATGAGTGTTGTAGATGATTTGTTATTTAATTACTGGTAACCACTGGCTACTATACTAACCTTGCTGCCAGAAAGATAAACAGTTA